TGCTTAAGAACTCATGACAAGGCCCAAAAGCAGACATGCAGAAATTTTATAAAGGTTTATTTACAAGGGGAGTTAGAAGAGGGAGAATTACCTAGATACCACCTACCTTACCAGCAGTAACTGGGTGCAAAGTTGGAGCTGAAAAAGCAAGAGGTGAGGCCCACCTGCCTTCGGTGTTTTAAAGATCCACCTGGCCACTTGACTCTGCCTTTGTTCCCAGCAGGGCTCCTCACCCCATTTGGGAAGTCAGGTTCATGGCATCTGGGAGTTGTAGTCTATGGCATCTGAGGTCTCATAGTTGTGGAGATGGTGGGGAATCCTTTCGGGACATCATCCACTGGCTCAGAGTTAGCTCTTCATTGTCCCTCTGATAGATAGATTGGTCATTTGTGGTCAGATCACCTGAACTTTGTAGGCTATGATAGAAAAACTGCTTTTTATTTTACATGCCAAGGAGATTCTTTGAGGGATTTGAAATAGGGGAGTAATGTGATTTAACTTTTATTTTAAAAAGATTCTGTGATTGCTTGTGGGGACTATATTAGAAGGAAACAAGACAGGAAACAGGAGACCAGTATAAGAAGGCAGGCTGGTGGTAAGGATGCCTTGGACCAGTATGGTAGCAGTGAAATGAAGTTGAATTAGAAATGTATTTTGTATATGTAAACTGTAAGGCTCGATGACAGATTTGGATGGGGAGGCAGAAGTCGAAAGGGAGAAGGCCAGTATGATGAGGTAGGACAAATTTGTCATACAGTAATAGTTACTACAAATGTCTGGCTCTAGTAACTGGATGGTCTATTTATTGAGACAAGGAGACAGAAAGTTTTGGCATTTTGAACTTCCTAAGTTTAAAGTGCTTATGTGTTTTTCACATGGAGATGTCAGATAGGCATTGAAAAGAGATTTCAGCAAGAGACATTGATAATGGCATTTAATTTAAAACCATAGATAGAGGTGAGATCATATAGAAGCAGCATGTGGGAGAGAGAAGAAAAGACCCAGTAGCATGCCCTGAAGATCTCCGACATACAGATTTGCAGTAGAGGAACCATATACGATACAGACAGGAAAGGAGCAGCACGTAGATGTCACAGAGAGCCAGCAGAATGTGCTGTATGGACTCCAGGATGGATAGTGTTTTCGAGAAAGGGGAAGTGGTTAATCATGTCAATTGCCAGGCCATAAAAGTGACCTTTGGATTTGGTTACAGAAGTCATTAATGACCCCCAGAAGAGGAGTGAAATGATTGAGGAAAGAACAGGAGTTGAGGAAATGAGTTGTGCTTCTCAGATCTTAAGATGTATATGAATTACTGGGAGATCTTGTCAAAATGTAAGTTCTATTCTAAGGGCCAAGCCTCTGTATTTCTGAAGAATTCCCAGAGAATGCCAGTGCTGCTGGACCATGGGGTAGCAGAGGTATAGACTAGTGGTTCTCAAACTTGAGTGTGGAGTCAGAGTCTCTGATTCAGTAGGACTGAATCATAGGCACTGAGAATTTGCATTTCCTATAGATTCCCAGGTGATAGTGAAGCAACTTGGTCTAGAAACCGTACTTAGAGAATCACTGGAGAATTTTAACTGTGGGGAGCTTTCATTTGTTGAGGATGAGAAATAGCTAGAGCATTTTTTTTTTTTTCATTTGTTGAGGATGAGAAATAGCTAGAGCATATTTATGCTAATGAGAATGAGTCAGTTGATAGGGCGAGACAGAAAGAGAAGAAGGAGTAAAGATTTTGAAAAGATGAAGGAGGATGGTTTCAAACCAAGTATTGGGGTCTTGGATTTTTTGTAAGAAAGGGCATGTGTCCTAACTATAGCAGAGAAAGCAGAGAAGATGGTTTCAACTGCAGATGGGTTTGTAGATTTAGTAGTAGGTAAATGCAGTTCCCCTTTGATGGTTTCTGTTTTCTCAGTGAAGATAAGAAGACCACCTGCTGAGAGGAGGTTGGAGGAGAGAATCAAATGGTGACTTTGAGTAGGGGAATGAACTGACTAGTAAAAAGGTGACAGTATTGAGAGCCTTTTTGTGGGTAAGGTCAGAAATGAAACCAATCGAAGTGACCGTGCATCTTTTTTTCTTCAACCACCATTCTTAGTTTTAGACAAGGAGAATTAAATAGTTGAGATCACCCAAAGTTAGACTTTATGTAGATCAGTACATCAGAGAGAGAACGAGGCTCAAGGGAGCCTGTAGTTGAAGCCAGGCAAGAAAGGAAATGAAGAGGGGAAAGGGCTGAAGAAACAAGCAAGGATGGTGAGCTCCATGAATTGTAGCCAGGGCACAAGTAAAATTAGAAGTAAACTGAAAGGGGTGGGAGGTTTATAATGGGAAACACATGTTGTTATATTCAAAATTTTGTAGGCAGGACAGTTTTGGGGTGGCGATAGAGGTCTAGGGTAAGGCCATGGGGGTGGCTGGATGAGGTGGAGTTTCCTGTAGAGGTCAGGAAACCGAAAGGCCAGGATGTTGGATCTGCCCTCCACCTGGATGTTTAAGTTGCCAAGAGTGATGACAGAAGTTGGGAGTGGAGAAATAGGAGCTAGCGTTTCAGTAAGTGATGGAAAATTCCAGGTCAGTGGATGACAACATCAGAGAAGGAGAGATGATCATGAGCAGGGGCTTATGTAAAACAAAGGTTTATGATCTGCCAGTGGTAATGATTGGCTAGAAGGACACTGACCCCAATTCAAATCTTAAGATACCCGGGATATGAGAGCTTGCCCTACTAATGTCAGGGAGCTAGGAGAAGTAGTGTTGATTAAAGCAGAGTGATAAAGGGAAGTTTAGAAAAGAGATGGAAGATTTACAAGAGTTTATCAAAATTGGGAATTGAAGAGCAATGACATGATGTAAGGATTTGAGAATGAAAGGAAGGGGAAATGTGGACTAAAGAGAATCATGTGCAAGAGAATTTGGTGATAACGGATTATCCGAAAGTCCTGGATTCCCATTAGAGACTGAGATAAATAGGGGAATGAGGCTTGATGGAATCACTCCCAGTCTCTAAATAAAGAATTAAAATACATGTTGTAATGCAAATCAAAACTACCATGAGATACCATCTTACACCAGTGAGAATGGCACATATTAAAAAAACTAGCAACAACAAATGTTGGCGAGGGTGTGGAGAAAAAGGAACTCTTCTGCACTGTTGGTGGGAGTGCAAACTGGTCCAACCACTGTGGAGAGCTGTGTGGAGATTTCTGGACCTACTAAACATAGAGCTTCCATATGATCCAGCAATTCCACTCCTAGGTATTTACCCAAAGGACACAGAAACATCAATTCCAAAGAACACCTGCACCCCTATGTTTATAGCAGCACTGTTTACAATAGCTAAGCTTTGGAAACAACCCAAATGCCCAAAAATAGATGACTGGATCAAGAAGATGTGGTACATATATACCATGGAATATTACTCAGCATTCAAAAAAGATAAACACATGCAATTTGCAGCAACATGGATGGCACTGGAAGGGATCATGCTCAGCGAAATAAGCCAAAAAGAAAAAGAAAAATACCGGATGGTCTCACTCATAGCAGGAATCTAGAAAACTTAAATAAGGGACCAGGAAAACGAATAACTATAAGAAAGTGAAAATCAAAATCAACAAAAAACTACGAACCAGAGACACTTTTAGGGGGGCGGGGGTGGGAGGGGAGGGATTGGGGTCAGAATGGGGGGGCTGCAATTGTATGGGGAATATAAAAATAAAATTTATTATTAAAAAAATAAAATAAAATACATGTTGTTTCTTGCTGTAAATTTCCTACATGATCCAGCCTCCCCTACTCTCTGACATTCTTTTCCATTCTCCCCTAGCTCCCTGTGCTCCAGTATGCCATATATTTTTGTTAACCTTTGCTTCTTTTTTCCTTTATTTGCATTTGCTTTCCTAAGCAGCAGTTTAACAGAGTAGTTACCAACATTGAACTTTGGATCAAGACTCCCTGCTGTGCCACCTTGTAGCTTTATAATGGTGGGCAGGTTATCTAACCCCTCTGTGTTCCATTTACCTTGTTTGTAAGTGGGGGGAGGGTGATAATATTACTTCCTACATGTGTTGGAGGATTAAAAGAGTTAATTAAAAAAATTAATGGACTAGGCATTGAACAGTTCGTGGTAGGCAGTAAAGACTCAACAAATGTTAATATCATTTTTTTCCTCTGTGTGAAGCTTTGTCCCTGTATCTTTACACGATTGCTATTTTCTCAAAATTCAGTTGTCTCAGCTCACATTTACTTCCTCAGTTATCCTAGCAAAAATAGTGTAACTCCATTGGCTCTCTGTCACCCTTCAACCCATTGCTCTGTTTCATTTAGTCATAGCATTTATCACTGTTTGAAATTATTTTATTCTGCTCTTCCCATTATCCCCTGTCCGCTGAGGGTAGGCATTTGTTGACTTTTCCCTACTACATCTCAGTGTCTGAAATGTGCCAAATACTTTGTAGGTGCTTAGGGAATTTTCGTGTCAACTCATTGTCCTGAAAATTTACTGATTTCCAAGGCAGCGCAAAGTGACCGTAAAGCAGAGGCAGAGAAGACAGACAGTATTCAGCTCTTGTATACCAGTCTGTAGGCTTATCTAGATCAGGTGGTCGTCAAAACAGGCACAGAGTCACAGCCATTTAAACAATTTATTATCTGGCTGCTTTATAAGTAGCTAGTCACCAAGATGAGTAATTGCAACAGGGACCCTAAGCGTCACAAATTCTAAGATAATTTACTCTGTGGCCCTTCATGGGAAACGTTTGCTGACACCTGATTTAGATGCATGAAAAGACTAGAAAGAAATACCAAAAATAATAAAAGCTTTCTTTAGATACTGGGATTATAGGTCAATTTATTTATCTTTCTACTTTTTGTGGTGTTTTATTAGAGACCCATTTAATTTGGGAATGAAGTAGCCTTGTAAGTACTAATTTTAAAGTATTTAGAGCACTTTTAATAATAGGCTTTTTATGTTTTTTTTCTTTTTTTCCCCCCTTCAGTGCTGCTTTTGACACAAAAACTGGGTTACGTGTGGCAGTCAAGAAGCTATCCAGACCATTTCAATCCATTATTCATGCCAAAAGGACCTACAGAGAGCTGCGATTGCTGAAACATATGAAACATGAAAATGTAAGTTATTCATTCAATGAAAAATACTATCTGCTCTTGAACAGTCTGAGAAAAATTGTGTTTTAATTACTGTAAGTGGAAATACAGTAAAAGTGCATCATACCTTCACCAGCTTCTTGTGCTGGGGGGTTAGTGGCCTCAGCCTTGGCATGTAATTGTTCCGTCTTTCTGGAGAATCTAGTTTAATTCAAAAATTTTTACCAGGAAAATGTTTTAAAATAGGCTTAAATGAAAAAGAATATATTATGAAGTGGAATACAAAATTCACAAGAGTTTTTAAGAAATCATTAACAAAAGATTTTGTGTTCTTTATCTCACTTGGTTGAGGCTTATCAATACATGGAAGATCGTGGCTATTTTTGTTATTATGGGTTTCTTGGAAAAGTTTGAGGAAGGGTGCCTTCATCTCATTGAAAGTCCTATTGAAGATGGCTGTTTTATGCATAATTTTATTGTTTTTCTTTCTGATCTTCAAAAGATAGCCTTTTTAGATTTAGGTATTTTATTTATTTTTTTTTTAAGATTTATATATTTATACAAGCACTGGGTACAGTCAGAAGCGTGGGAGGGTGAGAGGATTCACCAGAGACAGACGGAATGCAGAACAGGCAGACTGACAAAGTACACTGCTGAGGGGAGCAGCGGGCGTGGCAGGAGAGGTCTGTGCGCCATGTGGGACCCTTGCCTGGTGGCCGGGGATCAAACCGGCGCTGCAGAGGCTGCGGGCAGCTTCAACCCAGCGCTCAACCAATGTGCCACCTGGGAGGCCCAGATTTAGGTATTTTAATATGACAAAAGCATTGTTTAAGTTAGATAAAACTTTTCTATCAATTGGGGTATTTAAGGGCTATGCCATCCTACAAAGGAGTGCTTAAGGATTCTAATATGATAACTAAATGGATGTAATTAGAATATTAACTGGAAGTGAGGAAACAATTGACAGAAGACAGTTATTTTCCTGAATTTCAAAATCAATTAAAAAATTCTGATTGCTGTTTGAAAGGAACTATAAAATTTTAGCATAGTAAAACAATGGGCATAGAGACCTTAGAGTCATTTAGCTCTATTGACTTTTACTGTGATATTACTGTGTAGAAAAAAATTCAAAATCTGTAAGTTTTTTACTTGTCTACTCACACTTTTTCTGTTTTGAAGATTGAACCTTCTCCAGGGTAAGGAAAAAAAAAATCACAGAAACGTCTTTATTAGCATACATTTATTTCAATTTCTTTTAAATTTGAGGGCATTAAGACTAAAATTTAGAATGGATTATGGAATAATAGATGCAGCTTCTATATTTTTGTGCTTTATTTTTAAAAAGCTTAGTGCAAAACTGTAGTCTTCCTAATCAGTGACATGCTTACAAGAAGTTGAGATGTGTGGATAAAGCTGGCAGGAGGAGCTTTATTCCAAGGTCTACAATCAAGGTAACCTGGCAGCTTAATTTATGCATTTACACTTGATTCTTAACACAGTTAAGTTTCATTTCACATTAATAAATGTGACAGAGACATTGTCATAGCTTTTTTAATAAAAAGAATACTTTGAAAATGGAATACAAGCCAAAAATCTATGGAACCCCAAAGCACCTCCAGGAAGCCCTGGGATCCCTCTGGTGTTGCCTATGCTAATGTAAGAACATCTAGTTTAAAACAGTGTCAGTGCTATACTTTATTGTTTTGCTTTTCTTCATAGAAAATTTAAGCCAGTGTTTGGGGCAAAAATTATTTTGGGTTATCTGAATCCATTCAGTGATTTTTATAGCGAATATAAACAGCTAGTTTTTTATGTGTTAATTTTCTGAAATACTTTGAAATGTATCTTTTCTGATGTTAACATTATTATATAGCTGGCTGGTTTCATTTGGGCCATTCTGTATTTGTAGGAATAAAGAGACAACAGTGATGGGATACAATTGTTCTAATTTAGGAAAGGCTACTAGACTCTAAAAAAAAAGAGGACAGACACCATTAAACAGAATTTTAATATATATGTTGTATTATAAGTAGTTTACTTAATGTAGTATCTTTCATTTTACTTTATTTGATATTTTAAAATAATGGGTTTATTAGGAAAGGCAAAAGAGAAAGAGAGGCACCTACATAGTGTGCAGGAGAGCTGCCGGCAGTCTATCTTTTTAATAGTAAGATGTTTGCCATATCAGTATAGACTGTTACCTATAATTACGTATTGGTGATTTATTGTTTGAACAAAAGAAGGCACATGGCTGAATGTTTTATAGTTCTCTATTATGTTGACAAATGTTTGAAAGAGAAATGGGAAGAGGCCAAACGTCTTAGACTCAGTGTAGAGAATTCATGAATTTTAGTCTTTTCTACAACTACTGTCAGGTGATTACATTGTAAAAGTAACTTTTCCCAAAAAGGAATCAAGACTTCCTCTTTATTTTTTTTAAAATCCACTGTTTTAAGCCCTGTCCAATTTTTACCTAACCTTCAAAGATATTACCAAACCTTCTAAGATATTACCAGCGCTACACTATATTGTATATTGTTTATTGTATATACTTTGTATATATTGTATATGCTATATATACATTATTGTGCATCCTTTGTTGTATATATAACAGCTTAAAACTCTTAAAATTTTAAGTATAGTTTACAAATAAAAGTTACAGGTGCCAGAGTGCATGAGTGATCTTTGACACACAGAATTGTTTCTGACCCACAACCCATAATTTATCTTAAATTACTTCTTTTGTTAGTGATAATTAGTGGTAGATACACATTTATCTGATGGGTTCCAGGAGCTAAGGGATATCTTCAGTGACTGTGAAGTTATTCTCTGAACAAGGTTAACTGGGCTATTCCTGATTGAACTTGTCACTTTTGTCTCATGAACACCTACTCTAAGGAAAGATAACAGGAAGCAGCTCACAGGTGGCATTCTTTTGCTGCCTGGGTAGGTGCTGCATATTATCCAGTAATATTTTGAAGTTTAAAATAATGGAAGCAATCTTTCATTAATTTTATTTGGTAGACCAAATGGTTGTTTGATGTGCTAATGGTAAATCAATTAGATGTTGTTCTTTGATTTTGCATACAAGAACTGGGGTGCAGGCCAGAGGAGAGTGGGGAGCAGAACAGGCATATTGACTGAAATACATTGCTGAGGGGAGCAGTGGGTGAGCCAGGAGAGATCTGCTGCGCCATCTCCCTGGCTGGGGATCGTACTTGTGCTGCAGTGGCTGTGGATAGCTTCACAGTGCTGTGCTTAACCCCTTATGCCACCAGGGAGGTCCCTGGTGTACTAATTTAATAAAAATGTATTACTTCTGTTAGTTTTTGGACCATTGTAGGGCAGTCATCAAAGACATTTGCTGAGTATATGTATTTTACTGTCAATGTCTTTTCTAAAGATTTAATTCTTAGGTTACTTTTAGGTGTCTAAAATCATGTAATGGCAGAAGGAGTAAAGATATAGGCTAAAATATGACCTGAATTAAAAGAAAATTTCCATTTAAGAACTGAGAAGTAAATGGATTAAAATATTCCCTAGCTCTATTTTAATGCTGGGAAACTTGTTTTATACTGTTTTCCTGGTGGTTAGTACTACAACATAAATATAATTAATGGAAAAGGGATGTTTTGTAAAATCACACAAAAAATTGAAAATACTTTAATGTAATATGGGTAGTTTTAATTTCATAAAATGTATTTCTTTTAAGAAAATTAAAATTTGGTAGGATATATACTAATATGCTTTGCTCTTTTTTTCTCTCCCCCAAATGTGTTCATTGTGCTTCTTGTAGCCAGGTTTTAATCATTTGAATAATTTAGTTTAACTTTATTTTGTTATTGGAAGTAACTACTTAAAATACTGTTGAAGTATTTGGAAGTAACTACTTCAAATAATATTGTTTCTGTGATATATATTTTATAATTCTTTATAAACCTCTAAGGTTTATAAAGATTATTTTTGTCAGTCCTTTGCATTTGGTACCTTTAGATTCATTGTCTACTTAATATTCCCTACAATCCTATGAAAAGAAACAATATCATCTCTGTGTCTTTCGTATGAAGAAAATGAGGCTCAGAGAAGATATTTCTTTTATTTATAACAAATATTAATTGAACTGCTATATTCCATGTGTTGGTGTTACTGTAATTAAAGAGATATAAAAGCTCAGGGATCCTAGAAATCAAACTGATTGTGATGTTCATATATACAGCAGTTTGATTCCAAAATACCTGTTGTTTTCAACCTTTCTTTTTTTTTAAAATTTATTTATTTATACAAGATCCGGGGTACAGGCCAGATGTGCGGGAGGGTGAGAGGATTCATCAGAGACAGAGCGGGGAGCAGAGCAGGCAGACTGACGAAATACACTGCTGAGGGGAGCAGTGTGCGAGACAGGAGAGGTCTGTTGCACCATGTGGGATTCTCACTGGCAGGCGGGGATCCAACCGGCACTGCAGAGGCTTCGGACAGCCTCACAGTGCGATGCTCAACACCTGCGCCACCAGGGGAGGCCCTGTTTTCAACATTTCTTATTGAATATTTAGGAGTTAGGGGTTCTCAAATAATCAGTGATTAAAAAATATGGTGATGGGTGAATAAAATTAGCATGTAGTTCTCAGCTACCTAAAGTACAAATGGGTGTAGAGGAGAGTAATCAAGCATCAGAGGTGTTAAGCCAGATATATATGAAACTAATGAAAAGTGTTAATCCATGGTTTAGATCAGGAAGTAGAAAGAAAACTATTTGACTTAAATTTAAAGCACTACTCAGAGGTGTGATAAGGTCACGAATATATTACTGGTGAGAGTATAAGTTGAACTCACATTATGGAGGACAATTGGACAGTATTAAAATCCTTAATTATATGGGTGCCCTTTGATTCTATACTTACTTTATTATTAAAATTTATTTCTTGAAATTTATTTTCTGAAAGAAAATACAACACATGCAAAAAAATACTTGCAGTATTCCTTAAATATCCAAATACAGGAAATTGGTTAAATTATGGTATACAAATGATAAATTTTATTATTGAAAAATAAATACTTAAGCACTTGAGAGTAGTCATTATATATTATGTGACAAGGCAAAGCATAACCTCAAATTATATGCATCAGAAAAATGAAAGGAAATATTTCAGTGATTTACTTGTATACATTTGTCTGTGTAAGGATCTGATGAATAAATCTGTACCTTTCCTCTGGAATAAATTGCAAAGACATGAAAAACTATTCTTGAATTCTGAGATGTTTTGTTTATTTGTTTTCCTTTTGGGTTCAGACTGTATAATTGAAATTGCTTTTAAAAGTCGGATGAATAGAGTGATATTCTAAGTATCTTTCACATGATGAGTTTTGAGTATTGTTGTATCTTCCTTTTAGCTGTGTGACCTGATTGGTTAGAGCAGCTGGCTGGCATGGCCACACTTGTACATCTGTTTTTTCCATTTAGCCAGATACTTTTAAATCTGGCTGGGGATTTTACAAATGAATTATAATATTTCGTGTTTGTCTTTTGTTTAATTTTGTAGAAACAAATGGTCTCAGTTAAGAGGGGCTGGGGGATGGGGTGGGGCATGGGTGGGAAATCAGTGTTAATCCATGACCAGAAAACTCTCAAAGAACACGGATTACTATGTAGCTCTTTGCTTTATCCTTATATAAAAATAGATTTTTTCTTTTTCATTTTAAATAGTTTGATCTAAATACTTGGTAATAATTGAGAAAAGCATCTTCACATTCAGAATATTATAAGAATAATGTCAATAATATACTGAATTTTTTAACTTAAAAAATCAGTTCTGAAGACTATAAAAGTAAAAAATTTCATGGAATAATACATCTAAAAAATAAAAATGATACTGTAATATCTGTTGTAGAAGTGTGATTTTTTTCTTTGTATTAACTATCTAGACTATTAGTGCTTTTAGTGCACATGTATAAGAACCCTAAATATTTTTGCCCACTGATTAATTAGTAACTCTATGTGGCCAAATTCTAAAGAGATTAAGATTTTTAATAGTAAAATAGGTTATTATAAGAACTAATGTTAACAAGGGAAAAAAACTGTATTTTCAATAGAAAATAATTTGGGCTTATTAAGCATATGATATTATGCTGTTATTTCACTGAAATTAGTTCCTATTAAGATGATTAAAACCTGATAGGTATTGTAGTAAATTCACCATTTACTGAGTTTGATTTTTATGTTTTCTTATAGGTGATTGGTCTGTTGGATGTTTTTACACCTGCAAGATCTCTGGAGGAATTCAATGATGTGTAAGTGTATCTTTGTGTTTCTCTTTCTCTCAGTTAGAGGATGAAAATTAGCAGCCCATTTCTATTCCTAAACCATTTAGCAATACATGGACTTCAAGGATTCTTTATTTCTATCAACTAACTGTTCCAGAGGATGGGACTAAATAGCAGATGATGTATATTATGGGTGGTATAGATTAGTGCTTTTATCATTTCAGGCACGTTTTGCCTGTTTGGAGAGTCAGTGGTTAGTATTTAGAAGAGTTCAATGGAGATGAATATAGGAAGTTTTGACTATGATTTTTGTTCTCAAATAACCTATCCCAGCTTTTTTTGTTTTTAAAGATTTATTTATTTATGCATACAAGAACTGGGGTACGGGCCAGAGGTGTGGGGGGTGAGAAGATTCACCAGAGACAGACGTGGGAGCAGAACAGGCAGACTGACTGAAATACACTGCTGAGAGGAGCAGTGGGCGAGTCGGGAGAGGTCTGCTGCACCATGTGGGTAGCTCCCTGGCCAGCCAGGGATCGAACTCATGCTGCAGAGGCTGCAGATAGCTTCAGTGTTGTGCTTAACCCCTTGTGCCACCAGGGAGGCCCCTATCCCAGCTTTTAAAGGGACATCTTTACATCATTACATTTACATCAAGAAATGTAACACAGTCCTGGCTTCATATAGGCCATTTGCTCTCTTATCCAACTTGTGTTTAGGAAATGGTACTATAACTGCATGCACATCCTTGAAGTATTGATTTCTGCACTAGCCCAAAGGGCAGGCTTCGCATGTTGAGAAAGTTAATGAATAGTGCTGATTCTCCCAGTGCGTGACCATCTCTATTATTCTAGCTTGTGATCCCCTGGGAAAGTAGAGCCTGCAGTTTTCAGGAACTAGTAGTATGGGTCTAAGGAAAATGGTAAAGGAAGCAGAGAAAGCTACTGTAAAGATATATTAAGTCAGTCACCACTGTGGCCTGTGGGACTGAAATCTGCCAGGGTCTTCTGAAAAGCTATACAGAATGCACCTATACAGAATGCACCTCAGATGGAGAGCCATTTACTCACTGGCTTCTGACCCCATGGGTGAGTGTTGTTCTATGGGACATTAATACCATTGCATCCCTAGGTTGCACATGTGTGGGTGTAAGACAGAATCCAGCACGTGCTCTTGTGCATTGTGTAAACTCTCTACTGAAGTTTTTCCAGTACCTGAATCATCACACCCCTCTCTCAATTCCTGATTCACATATATAATGTATACTGTATACATATATACTGTATGAGAGAGAATGGGAATAAGTACCAGATACATAAATACTGTATGAGAGGGAGGGAAAGCCTTCAATTTAGTTATACATTTTGTCCTGTTGAAATTTTGGCATTCCTCATTGGAAAAAGTGACTATTGTAAAAGTTGGCCAGACTTCTAGAACATAGATGCTTGTCAATAACCTTTACTTTCTGTTGTTCCCGGTGGAGACGGTTTCTCCCCACCCTTAACTTAACCTGAGTTCAGTTTCTCCTACCCTTATCCTAGCTGAGTCTAAATACCTTTTGCTCCATGAGTAGGAATATATGTTTGCGCTTGTATATTCTGTCTAAAGTGAGGGATGGGGCCTCCCTGTGGCGCAAGGGGTTAAGACGCAGCACTATAAAGCTGTCTGCAGCCTCTGCAGCATGAGTTTGATCCCTGGCCAGGGAGCTACCCACATGGTGCGCCTCACCTTCTGCTCCCCTCAGCAGTGTATTTCAGTTGATCTGCCTGTTTTGTTCCCCACTCTGTCTCTGGTGAATCCTCTCACCCCCCACACCTCTGGCCTGTACCCCAGTTCTTGTATGTATAAATAAATGAATCTTTAAAAAAATTTTAAAAATAAAGTGAGGGGTGGGGAAGGAACTGAAAAAGAAATGGAAGAGAAGGAAGAAAAATAGCAAAACATTTTCTCACCATTTAAATTTAATTGGAACATGGTATGACTAAGAACAGAAGATGAAAGAGGAGAATCTGGTCCAAGCACAAGATTCCCACCCACATTAACTTTGATTCTGCTGATGAAATTTTAAGAAACAAGCAAAGGATAAAATAGGCAATAATAAAGAACAGCAGTGCTTTTTGTGGCCCTACTTGACCCTATAATGTGAAAGATCCCAAAGCTTACTGGATGCTACCCAGGCAGCATGTGTGTTACACATTGTTGAGCCCTGCTGTAGTCTCTGCTTGGAAAAGAGAATATTGCAGAATGATATTTTTTTTAATAAAATAATCAACCTTTATTTTTAAAAGATTTTAATTTTTAGAGAGGTTTTAGGTTGACAGCAAAATTGAGAGGGAGGTATTTCCCATATAGCCCTTCTTCTTACACATGCATAGCTTCCTGCATTGTCAATATCACTCAACGGAAAGGTACATTTTTTACCAAGGATGAACCTATATTGACACATCATAATGACTCAGAGTCCATAGTTGACCTCAGGCTTCACTCTTGATATTGTACATTAAATGTATTTGGGGAAATGAATAAAGAAAAATCATTTTCCTCTGTTATGTTACAATGTACTTTTATTACCCCAAGAATAATGGTTTTTGATATTTTGCTTAAATGTGGAAGAAATGTTGAAGTAGTATGTTTGTTAATTACTTTGTAAAGCATTCGTATCAGGTCTGAATTAGATCCCAAATATTAAGGTATAGTTAAATTGAATTTATTTAACAAAGGAATTGATGATTTGCTAACCTGATCAAACACTATGTTTTGGTGTAATCAAGCATTGTGGAACTAGATTATGAATCTTTTTTAACCTATGTAAAAAAGACCTTAGTTAAGGCTAGCATCTGTTGGAAAGTTAAGTTTCATTCATTGTAATATCTTTAACTTCTTTATCTGTTTGAAGATCCACTAATTACAAATATACCCACTGAATTAAAGTTGCATTTATGTCTTCATTCACTCAACAAATACCATGAACAGGAATCTGTTCTTTCTAACTGGGTTCTGACTATTTTATTTCCAGTTTTGTTGAGATATAATTGACATGTAATATTATATAAGTTGGGTTCTGGTTAAAATAAGAATTGAGTTCATCTCTTCAGAGCAAATCTTTGTACTACTTGGTGAATATTTGCTCAGGAGAGTATTGGAATAGGGTCAGAATAATTAGAAACAATAGTCTTTCTCAATTAAGTCACAATATTGTTAGGAGAAATAAGTTTGAAAACACTTTGGTAGCCAGTTACCAATTAACCGTTTGACCCTATACTAGTCACTTTGCTCCTCAAGGCCCCAGTTAGCTTCCCTTTAAATGATGAAAATTGGGGTGGTTGAGTTCTGAAATGTTTTCAATCCCAGAGAATCTGAAAATGGAATAATAAATCTAAAGTTGCATTTAGGGAAATGTTTCATTGTTTAATTTTAACTCTTAGGGTTTTTCCTGTCACTGAAAAAAATCAGTACTTATCCAGACTATGGTTAATAGTGTTTTCCAAAGTCATTTTAGAATTTGCATAAGAAACAAAACATTCACCTATAATTTGGGTTTTGCAATTTTAAATTCCTTCCAGACAAATAAAATGAATGATACTCAGTGTTACACAGCTGGGATTGGTGGGGTCTGTGGTAAAACAGATTATTTGTATTTCCTAAAACCATTCAAGCAAACAAAAGCCCAGTGTTCTAGACAAATTATACTCTGAAGGTGAGAGTGGTGCTATATGCTGCCAGGTTTAGAACAGGCAGTAATTTTGAACATGAAGTTTCTGTGCCAATTAACAAAACAAAACTTCTATTTGATTTTCACATTTCCCAGTGATTTTTAATCATGTGTTATATATATATTTGTCTGAGTTATTAGTACTTTTCATTTATCATACAATTCAGATTTTTACTAAAATTTTAATTTCTCAGTTAGCAGGCATCCTGCATACATCATTTGTGAGACTGTACCTTTAAGAAAGGAATGCTAGTGAGCTGGAACATTAGGAGCCATGGAGATGGTGTTTGGAAAATGTGGAGTTAAAAGATGAATATACCAAGTTGTTCTTTTTTTTTTTTTTTAAGATTTATTTATTTATGCATACAAGAACTGGGGTACAGACCAGAGGTGTGGGGTGTGAGAGGATTCACCAGAGACAGAGTGAGGAACACAGCAGGCAGATTGACTGAAATACACTGCTGAGGGGAGCAAAGGGCAAGGCAGGAGAGGTCTCCTGCACCACATGGGTAGCTCCCTGGCAGGGGATTGAACTTATGCTGCAGTGGCTGTGGGACAGCTTCATAGGTTGTGTCTTAACCCCTTGCGCCACCAGGGAGGCCCCTACCAAGTTGTTCTTAACTGCTGTATAATGTGTTCAGATGGCACAATTTTGTAAAGGTATATCTAGATATTCTAAATGATTCGAAATCATATGTACATTTCCATTGACTTCTTGATGGTGCTGTTTGGTAGGAGGTGGCATATGTATGCATGCTATAAATATTTAGTTAACAATAGAAATCCAGAAGGAAAAAGAAAAATATCGGATGGTCTCACTTATAGCAGGAATATAGGGGAACCAAATAAGACATCACTGTAAAAAAATAATCACAGTAGAAAACACAACAAAGCAAAAATAGACAATTATAAATCAGAGACATACTGCAGGGGAGGAGGAGGGAGAGGGATCAGAGGGAGGGAGGGAGGAACACAGGGGACTGAGGTGATGGTGCATGAGTGCCTTGGGGAAGGAAATTCCATGGGGACAACACCTGAGTGGATGGGGGAAGCAAATATTGTTTAAAAATGAACAACGATGTTAAAAAAAAAAATAAATAAAAGATAACAAAATAAAATAAAGCTAGATATAAAAAAAATTTAATTTCTTCACACACACACACACACACACACACACACACACAAAATAGAAATCCAAAAACTTTAAATACTCAGTGTCAGAACCTAACTCCTTGAGTAAGCTGCAACTTTGTGCTATTGCATTATTGCCATTTTTAAACTCTGGTGGTTTTCTGATCAAGCTTAGTGGGCAAGA